TGACCAATTTGCCCCTGCAAATCTCATGTGCAATACACGTGTAGTCATATTTCCGTCAAAATTGCCGGAATATTCCTTTTAGGAGGCATCGTGCAACGAATTAACGAGTTCAGGTAAAAACGTGCAAATTTTTTTTGTTTGGGGGGCAAAGTGCAAAACGGGCTTTAATTTAGGGGGTAAACTGCTTTTTACTCAATATTGGTATTACTTAACAATGTTGATGTATTTTGGACATCATTCGTAGACTTTATGCTATTTTCTTATATTCCTTGCCAGTATCTATCTTGTTATTGTCTAGACTTTATGCTATTTTCTTATATTCGTATCTGACTTTTTATTGTCTAGTCTTTGTTACGTGGTGAAAATACCAAATTGAGTCGTATTTTGGATTTGATAAACCTGCTTTCGTAACGAGTCTTATTGGTTACAATTGTTGTTAAATGCGCTCGTTGAGCACGTAATGAGATTTGAATCCCCGACATCTTCCCACTTTCAACAAGTCAATACTATTAGGCTAAACACTTGACGACGAGTTAAGTGTAAATTCAAACATAAATGCGTGCTCATTGTGCACGTAACGAGATTTGAATACCCGACATTTTCCCACATTTAATAAGTCAATACTATTAGGCTAAACGAGATTGAATACCCGACATAATTTACATTCAAATATTGGTATTACTTAACAATGTTGATGTATTTTGGACATATCATTCGTAGACTTTATGCTATTTTCTTATATTCCTTGTCAGTATCTAACTTGTTATTGTCTAGACTTTATGCTCTTTTCTTATATTCGTATCTGACTTTTTATTGTCCGGTCTTTGTTACGTGGTGAAAATACCAAATTGAGTCGTATTTTGGATTTGATGAACCTGCTTTCGTAACGAGTCTTATTGGTTACAATTGTTGTTAAATGCGCTCGTTGTGCATGTAATGAGATTTGAATCCCCGACATCTTCCAACTTTCAACAAGTCAATAATATTAGGCTAAACACATGACGACGAGTTAAGTGTAATTCAAACATAAATGCGTGTTCATTGTGCACATAACGAGATTTGAATACCCGATATTTTCCCACATTTAATAAGTCACTACTATTAGGCTAAACGACATTTGAATACCCGACATTTTCCCACATTCAAATATTGGTATTACTTAACAATGTTGATGTATTTTGGACATCA